GCTGGGGTCTTTGGGTTTATCAAATAATAGATTACTATAGTTATTGACTATTGTGTCTTGCATATTTAACCTATTCCACTGATCCACCACTCTATTTCTTAGCCAATACCTAGCAGTTTTGATGATTGCTGCTTTATAATACAATTTAAGATCTGGAATAGCTAGGCTACCTTCCCCTGCATTTCTTTTCATTAATTCCCTTGATATTCTGGACCTTTTGTTCTTCCAAATGAATCTTGTTATTATTTTTTCTAACTCTATAAGATAATTTTTTGGTAGTTTGATTGGTATGCCACTGAATAAGTAAATTAGCTTAGGTAGAATTGTCATTTTTATTATATTAACTCGGCCTCCCCATGAGTAACTGATGTTTTTCCAGTTATTTAGATCTGACTTTATTTGTGTGAAAAGTGTTTTGTAATTGTGTTCATAAGAATTCCTGGTTTTGTTTCGGGAGGTAGACTCCTAAATATTTTATAATGTCTATAGTAAGTTTAAATGGAATTTCTCTATCTCTTGCTGTTGGGCTTTGTTGGTAATATATAGAAATGTTGATGATTTATGTGGGTTTATTTTATAGCCTGCAACTTTGCTAAAGCTGTTTATTATTTCAAGTAGTTTTTTACTTGATTCTCTAGGATTCTCTAAGTATATCATCATGTCATCTGCAGAGTGATAGCTTTGTTCTTTACCTATTCTAATACCTTCAATGTCTTTTTCTTCTCTTATTGCTAAAGCTAGCGTTTCCAGTATGATATTGAACAACAATGGTGATAATGGACATCGTTGTTTCACCCCTGATTTTATTGGAAATACTTCTAGCTTGTCCCCATTATATATAATTCTTGTTGAAGGTTTTAGGTAGATGCTATTTATTGTTTTAAGGAAGACTCCATTTGTACCTATGCTCTCTAGTGTTTTTAATAGGAATGAGTGTTGTATTTTGTCAAAAGCTTTTTCTGCATCAATTGAGATGATCATGTGATTTCTGTTAGTTTTGGTGTTGATATGATCAATTATGCTGATAGTTTTCCTAATATTGAACCAGCCCTGCATTCCTGGTATAAATTCTACCTGGTCATAGTGTATTATTCTTGTGATAAGTTGCTGTGATCTATTTGCTAATATTTTGTTTAAAATTTTTGCATCTATATTCATTACAGAAATTGGTCTATAATTTTCTTTCTCTGTTTTAACTCTTCTTGGTTTAGGTATCAGCACCATATTTGATTCATAAAAAGCATTTGGTAAGACTTCTTCTTCACCTATTTTCCCAAATAGTCTATATAGTATTGGAATTAATTGTTCTTTAGATGTTTGATAGAATTCACATGTAAATCCATCTGCCCCTGGATTTTTTCCTAGGGAGTTCATCATTGTCTTGTTTAATTTCTTTTTCTGAGATGGGGTTATTTAAATGTTTTACTTCCTCTTCTGTTAATCTGGGCAATTTATATTTTTGTAAATATGTATCCATTTCACTAAGATTGTCAAATTTGTTGGCGTACAGTTGGGCAAAATAGTTCCTAATTATTGTTTTAATTTCTGAAGTAACTATTTTTTGAACTTTGTAGCCCATCAAACCTAGAAAAGCATCAGGGCATGGTATATCAAAAACAGGACTGGCAGTTCAGGAACTTGTAGATCTTGTAATCCTAGTGTAGCCACTGTTACTTTCTGCCTTCTTGAGACAAATCAGTAAATTTCTGTACAATTCACTTTTTTCACTTATCCAATAGAAAAGTAAAAGCTACTCTTAGGTATACTTAATGAATCTATGATCTTATCCTTAGAGATAGTTTCCCCCAACAGTACAGATTATAGTCCATTCACATGTACTTATTCTATATGTGATCCAGCAGGCTCTGTGAGCGCTAAGAGCTTCGTCAGATGTTGAAGACAGCAAGGTCATCCACTGCATCCTGGGCCATCACCAGTTGCCTTGACTTTTTCATGCTACTGGACTTTAATCACTCAGGAAGAGAGAGTGAGCCTGATGACTTTGTGCAGCTCTGCCTTACTTAAATTCAATTCATGCTCAAGTCAAGACATCACTATGGTGTCATTGGTCCTCTTTGGAATTTGCCTAAAGGGCTATAAAACTGTGCATACCCTTTGTACCAGCAATACCACTATGTATCCCAAAGAGATCAAAGAAAAAGGAAAGAGACATATATGTCCAAAAATGTTAATAGCAACTCTTTTTGTGATGGCAAAGAATTGGAAATCGAGGGGATGCCCTTGAATTGCAGAACGGCTGAACAAGTGGTTGTATATGATTGTGATGGAATACTATTGTGCTGTAAAAAATGATGAGCAGGATAATCCGTTTCAGAAAAACCTGGGAAGATTTACATGAACTGATGCAAAATAAGTGAGCAGAACTAGGAAAACATACACAGTAACAGCAATATTGTACAATGATCCACTGATAATGATTTAGCTATTCTGACTAATTGATAGAATGATCTAAGATGATTGTGAAAGACTTATGAAAAATACTGTCCACCCCCAGAGAAAGAACGATTGGAGACTGAATGCAGACTCCAAACATAACTTTTTCATTTTCTTTATTTTTTTTTTTATTGGTGAGGCAGTTGGGATTAAGTGACTTGCCCAAGCACACAGCTAGTTAGTATCATGTGTCTGAGGCCGAATTTGAACTCAGGTCCTCCTGACTTCAGGGCCGGTGTTCTGTCTACAGCACCAACTAGCTGCCCCTGTTTTTCATGCCTTTTATTTTTTATTTAATTTTTTTCAACATGGCTACTATGGAAATATGCTTACCATGATTTCACTTGTATAATAGATATCACATTTCTTGTCTTTACTGTGGGTTAGGGGAGGGATGGAAGGGAGAAAATTTGGAACTCAAAATTAAAAAGAAAAATGTTACCGATAAATAATAAATTTTAAACAGAAAGAAAGTGCTCTATATAGTTGCCCAAATGCGATTCAGCATACTCCATTCTGTCAATTTAATCTGAACCCAGTTCACTGTCCAACAGCAGGATCTACCTCTCCTTGGTCCCTGGTAGAGATAGGCCAGGACCTTGAGCTCAGTATCCCTGGGAATAGGCTTAGCAGACCAGCAGTCCTATTTGTAGCCCAGCCGTCACAGGCATTATCAAGGGGTGCAGCTTACAGTGAAAGGGTCCATTATCCTCACCAACACCATCAGTTGTCATGTATGGGACAGGCAGGCCAACCTACCTAAATCAACAATGCATTCTGATGGAGACATAGGAAGTAGCATGTGCTATAGGAGTCAAACCACCACATGCATCTTGACTGTCAGCTTCCCTTTGACCCCAATGGAGACAGTCCAAGACCCAAAGTACTGGGAATTGCAGTGTACCCTGTACACTGGTCTTGCTTCCACCCCAGGCCCTGTAACCATCATCAAGGTGAGCAACCATTGAGGAAAAGGAGCCTGTCATCCCCACCACCTCCAACATTAGCTTCCAATCAACTTCTACTGAGAAGCAGATGTTGTAGACCCAGGCTTTTCAGGAGCCACAGGTATTAAAGATGTGGCAAAGAAAGTTCTCTCCTCTAATGTCCTTGGCACTATCATCATTAGAAATAGATAGGGTGTTAACAGTGGAAATAACATAAAAGATAGATAGAGTTGTGAATTGATCTAGCCATTCTGGAAGGCAATTTGGAATTATGCTACAAAAGGCATTAAATTATACATGCCCTTTGACCCTACTATACCACTACTAGGTCTATATACTGCAGAGAGATGAAAGCAGGAAGAAAAAGACTCATGCTTAAAAACAGACCAGCTCTTTTTGTAGTAGCAAAGAACTGTAGACGAAAGAGTTGATCATCTGTTGGGGAATGGCTAAACAAATTATGGTACATGAATGTAATAGACTATTATTACAACCTGAGAAATGATGAAAGGGACAGTTTCAGAGAAAACTAGGAAGACTTATGAACTGATGAAGAGTGAAGTGAACAGAGCCAGAACAATATATACAATAACATTATAAAGAAAAACAATTTTGAAAAACTTGAGAGCTCTGATTAATCCAATGACTACCATGATTCCAGAGGACAGAGGAGGAAGCTTGCTATTCCTGTCTTGACGGAGTTGACAGACTTAGGATATATAATGAGACATGCATTTTTGGATATAGCAGTGTGAGAATTAGTTTTGTTGACTTTGTGTATTTGTTGTAAAGGCTTTGTTATCTTTTTTTTATTTCTGGAGGAAATGGAATTGTGATGGTAAGTTGAGGGGGAATACGGTCAGGGTAGGAAAAAAGAAAAAAAGGGTTATTGAGGTATCTTTCTTAAAAATTCAGAGAACAGAAGGAAGACTAGAAAAAAGCATGTAAGTAAGATAGCTTTGAAAGCTAAAGGTTGAATTATACACTTAGAAAGAAAAGGAAACTTTATGATAGGGATTTTTAGTTTTACATATAGTTGTGCTATGTATATGAAAATGTTTATTTTATTTGGTGTTTATTAAGTTCAGAATAAAAATAAACAAATTTTGAAAAAAAGAAATGACATTTTAAGAAGATGCATTTGTTTTGCCATTCCTCCATAAGGAGTACTGGACCTGCCTATCTAATTTTTAGCTGAAACCTGCATGTGTTGTCTACCACATTAGAATGTGAGTTCCTGAAGAGCAAGGATTATCCTATATTTTTCTATTCATCCCAAGCACTTCACACAGTGCTTTGAACACAGTAAATACTTAGCTAATACTTTTTTATCCATTCAAATATATATTCTGATAGACTGGCTCAATGGGCATCATCCATCTACATGTCATGGTTTAGAGAGTAGGAACATTGTAGAACTTCCTAAATGGGATTCACAACCAGTTCAAAGAGATCATCCCTACAGTTCACCTAAGAAAAGTCAAGTGACTAAAAAAAATAACAGTTGTCCAGACCACACAGGTGTGTATATTAATTTAATGATTGTAAAATTTAATGTGGTGTTTTTATTTTTATTTTTATTTTTTTTTACATCCATAGGGTCTGAGTATTGGTATAGTAGGACCTACATTTCAAGACTTGGCTGTGAATGTGAACCGCAACATCAGTGATATTTCCTACATTTTTGTGGGCCGTGCATGTGGGTATCTAGGTGGTTCTGTGATTGGTGGATTTCTCTTTGACCGCATGAATCATAATTTAATTTTGGGTAAGTAGAGTACCTCAAACAGGTTGTCTTGTGACTTTCAGTAGATATGATATTTGTATTAATGCCTCTGAAGACAGCTGGCCTCAGTCAACATGACCTTTGAGTCCCTGTCTCTGATACAACAGGCTATGTGACCCTTGAACATTTAAACTCTTAGTGCCCCAGGCAACTCTCCAGGACTATAAATTGCAGAGCAGATGTTGAACTCTATTGTAGAGGTAGTTTTCTCATTTGGAGTTCGCTATACCAGTGAAACAACAAATTAAATGAAAAATATGAAAGTTAATATTAACCTAGGAAAATTGATATCTGTCTAGGTATATATATGTATAGTGTTAAGGTATTGTGTTCATATATTTTATTTAGCAGTTAGTTAAGTAGCTTATGTGATTCAAACGTGGGAAGAGAGTTAAGCAAGGTAAATTTCCCATATCCTACTCCCAAGGTAAAAGTTACTTTTATTCTGGGGTTACTGTGGAGATGGGTCATCTCTAGGAAGAGTCCAGGATCCTTAGGTCTACCCAGAAGTCCACTTTTACCCCGGGTGTTATGTGGAATCCAGAGTCTTTTAAACCAGGAATATACAGATTCTTAGAATCAGAAGGGATCTCAGAGGTCATGTGATTCTGCTCTGCAGTGTCCCCAGCAAGTTCCTATCTAGCTTCTACTTGAAGATCTCCAGTATTAACTTATAAATAAATACATGCTATGGCATCCTGTTTCATTTCTGGACAGCTCTGGTTGTTAGAAAGTTATTTCTTTCATCAAGATAAAGTCTAGTTCTCCACACCATTTACCCATTGTTCCTAGTTCTGCCTTTGGGACCAAGCAGAAGAAGTTTTAATTCATTTCTAGCCATTCAAGAATTAAGAGACAGCTATCCTGTTCTCTGTAAGTCTTTTTCAGGCCAAACATCCCATCCTGGGTCAAGGTCAATAGGGTGGGATTGCTTTAGATCTAAAGAAGCTCTTAGATGCCCATTCTGGCTCTGTGATGACAGGGCTGGGTCAGCAGTAGATTGTATTTGGGGACTGAAGCATCTAGCTGTAATGAAGGATGGTTGGGTGTTTGCTGACTTCTCTTCCATAATATTGCATGTGACAGTTAAGGTTCATACTTTTTATATCAGACCTTTCTTCCTCACCTTTGAAATCTGTGGTGAAGCCTTTTAACTTATTACACGATACATACCTCAGATTTTATGGGAAATTTTAGTTCTGATTAATCTACAGTAAATCATGAGATACTATTTATTGAATTCAATAGTTAAAATAGAAACTCCTTTTGTTGAGAATAAAAGACCTTTTTTCCTTCCTAACTGGTGAAAACATTTGAAAATCAAAGAAAATCCTATTAAGAAAAAAATTTTTTTGTTACCCAACTTAATTTTAAAAGTCATCTAATTTTCCCGCTGAGATGACTGGTTGTAGGGTCTCTACTGGTTGAAGGCTATGGAAGTGATATCTTTAAGAGATCAGTACACCTTTTTGGAACTCAGTTTCCTCATCGTAAAATGTGGAGGTTGAACTAGGTAACCTTTTTAGTTACCTTGCAGCTCAGATCTTGTAATCCTAAACTATCTCCATTGCTATTATAAAGTCTAGTTCTTGTGACCTTAACAGCAACTCTTGTTAGGGGTGGAAGAATTCATTGCTTTTTCTTTAGTACATTTGATTGATTTTTCTAGGAAAAAAGTAAAAGATACAGAATTGAATGAAAAAAGTATTGAATGAATTAAAAACAAATCCTGAAGTTTTTTCTTCTATCGTACAATATTACTGTAAAGCTCTGGCACATGTAGTATGATTATGAACAATAAAAGTATCAATATTTGCATTATTTTATATTTTATAACCCATGAAGAGTAAGAAGGGCTATTTTAATGAAAGTAACCCCTTTTGTTGAATTATGGGTCAAGGGTTATGAATGTTAATAGAATCAAAACTTGGAATCAGAAGTGACCTCAGACATCATTTAGTCCAACTATTACTCAGAGTGTACATTCAGGCTGTGACATTTCTGATGAGTGGTCACTTAATTCTGCTTAAAGATTTCCAGTAATGACAAACTCACTACCTAACAATACAGTCCATTCCAATTTTGGACATTTCCAAGTGTTAGAAAGTTCTTCCTTATGCTAAATGAAATCTTGCTCCCTAGAATTTCTCTCATTGGTCTAGTTTTGCTGTTCGGGGCCAAGAAGAATAGGTGTGACAGCTTTTGCAATATTTGGTTAATAATAATAATTCATATTTATAAAGTGCTTTACATATTTCATTTGAATCCTCACACCAACCTTGTAAGGTAGTTGCTAGTATTATCTCCATTTTAAAGATGGGTTACACAGATATTAAGTGTCAGAGGCATGATTCAGGCTCTTAATTTTCTTGATTGTTAAGTCCGCTGCTCCAACCACTATGAAATCTTCTCTTCTCTAGGCTAAGCAACCCTCGCTCTTTCAAATGATCTTCATGCTGCCATTTTGATTCACCTTGTCATCCTGGTCAAACTGTCCTGGAGTTGCCCTCCAGTTTATTAATATGATTTAGAAAATGTGTCACCCTAGACTGAAAACATATGGGTCTGACCAGGGCTCTCAGGCCTGTGTTTTAGTTAACGGAACCTTGGTCTTGTGATGCCTGTTAGTATTCCCTATGTTGACTCTTCAGATTGGGACCAGAATTTGCTTCTGCTGGTGGTTTTTCTTGAATTAATTTTTTGAAGCCTCTTGGCATTTATTGTAACTATATGTATTTCTAAGCTACTTGGATTAGCATTCAGGGCCTGCCTCATTCTAATACTCTCCCTCTGCCTCACCCTACCCATCTATACAATCTCTACTGCTTTATCTTTGATCTCATTATTTCTCTAGCCTCCTGTGTATTTTCTACTCTCTGTCAGTTTATGCTCATTATGTTTTTCTAGGTCTGGCTCAAACTTCAACTCCATGAAGCCTTTCCTGACTAAACTCCATCTCTCTTCATCTTATTACTTTTTATTTAGTCCCCACTTAGGATTTATGTATACATTTTAAACTGTTCTGTTATTTTTGCATAATAGTAACAATAGTTTGCATTTGTATAGTACTTTAAGGTTTACAGATATTTCATTTTATCAACTTTGTGTGCTGCTTTATTATTGTCTTCTGATTGTTTCGGGTAGGTATGTTTCTCTAGGTAGTTTTTAAAGTCCATAAAGGCATTAATGAGTCTTTTCCATTGGAGGCACCTATAAAGCAAATGGTATTTAGAGGAGCAGATAACAGAGGGTGAATCTAAGAGCTTATAATGTGGTCTTGTGAAAAGTATGTCAGGAGTGCAATACCTCAGAATGAGCTGAAGGCCAAGTACTTCAAAAAAAAAAAAAGAATTTGCTTTTTTAAAAGCTTTTTTGAAAGAGAAAGTGATAGGACCTTTACTTAGGGATGAATGGGACTGATAGCTGACAACAGAGAGAATGCCGAACTGCTCAATTTTTATTTTGCTTCTGTTTTCTTTGCTAAGGAGAATGACTTTTATACTGGAAATGGCAGAACAAAAATTACTAAAAAGGAGTTTATACCTAAAGTATGTCAAGAGATAATAAGAGTGCCTGGCTGCCCTTGATGAATTCAGGTCACTTGGACCACATGAAATACATCTTTAAGTCCTAAAACAACTGACCGACGTGATCCCAGGCCACTGTCAGGGATACCAGAGATGGTGGAAAACAGCAGAACTTCCACTGTCTGGGAGAAGGAAAAAGGTTTTGATTATTAAAAAAGAGAACAGTTAGCAAGATATCAGCCAGTGAGCTGGGCTGATTCCTGGGAAAATTAGAAAGTGGATCACTAAAGACATAAAGAAATGTTACCCTGCATGGCTTCGTCTACAACAGATCATGTCAGATTAACCTCATTTCCTTTTTTGACAGGATTTCTAAACTAGTAAATAAAAGGAATAATGCTGTAGATAGTTTATCTAGATTTTAGTAAAGCTTTTGATAAAGTATCTCATACTATTATTATAGGGAAGATAGAGAGATCTGGATTAGACAATCTGCAGTCTGATGTATTCAGGACTGAGGGCTAGACTTAAAGAATAGTTAATAGTTCAAAGGCAGGAGCTCTCCCAGGACAGTTCTCTAGGGGTCCATGCTAGGTCCTGTGCTGTTTAACATCTTTGTCAGTGACTTGAATTAAAAACAAAAATGGAATGCTCGTCATACTTGCAGATGATAGCAAGCTGGGAAGGGAATAGCTAACACATTAGATGGCCACATCGGAATCCCAAAGGATCTTGATTGGCCAGAGAATTGGGCTGAATCTAATAAGATGAAATTCATTAGGGTTAAAAGTTGAGTATTATCCTTAGATACCAAAATGGATACAAGATGGAGGAGGCATGGTTAGATGGCAGTTAAGAAAAGATACAGTGGCATCAAAAAAAAGCAAATACAGTTTTGAGTTTCATTGATAGGCACAGCTTCCAGGAATAGAGAGATGATAATTCTACTGTATTTTGCCCTCATCAGACCTCATGTGCACAATTGTGTTTGTTTTTTCCACACCATAGTTTAAGGACACTGATAAGCTGAAGAGTGACCAGAACAGGGCAACCAAGATGGTGAAGGGAGTTGAGTCTGTGTTCTGTGAGGATTAGTTGAAGGAATTGGGTATGTTTAACCTGGGGAATAGAAGACTTGGGGTGGGGGACATAATAGCTTTCTTCAAATACTAAAGGGCTGTCATGTGGAAGGAGTTTGTTCTGTGTGGCCCTGGAGGGCAAAACCAGAAGTACTGGGGAGAAGTTGGAAAGAAGTTAATGTAGACTTGATGTCAGGAAAACCTTTCTAACAATTAGAGCTGTCTAAGAGTGTAATGGTCTCCTTCTAGAGGTGGTGGGTGTTTCCTCTTTGGAGGTCTTCAGGTAGAGTTGAAGTGAGCACGTGTCCCATAGGGTATAGTGAGCAGTTCTTTCCTGTATAGATTGTACCACACAGTCACCCCAATCCCTTTCAGCTCTCGGATCTTGGGGTTCTCTGATTCTGTGAGTTAGTTCAGTGCTAGTCGCACAAGAGGTGCTGAATAAATGTTGGTAAAAGTTGAACTTTAAAAAAAAAAATGTCCCTGACTCTTCTCCAGGCCGAATGCTATAGGAGTTGAGGGAAAGGAGCCACAAATCACATTCATAGCTGTATGAGTGATATCCATGTGCGCTCTAATATCACATGCACTTTATCATATGCACACATTGAGATGCCCTTGGATATACACAACCACAGTTAACATACCACTGTCCTGTCCACATGCACACTAAGACAAGGGTCTTATGCATGCAACAGTATATTCACATTGAGATATAAGCTTCACAGAATGTCTCAGGACCTCAGAGGCTCTCTAGTCCACACTGTCCTGGAACAGAAATTCTATCTGTGGTTTCCCTGACAAATCCCACCCTCTAGTGAGGAATCCCATTACCCTCAAGGCAGGCCATTCCATCTTTGGACAATGGCACTTAGATGTTCACGCTCAGATTTTTTTTGTGACTATTTATTTTCATTTGTAATATTTTTTAAAATTAAATTTAAAAACAACATAAGAAAAAAAGAAAATAAGAATAGAAAAAAAAATTTGTCATTTGCACAGCAGAAAGTGAGAAAGGGTTCCAAAAAAACAGCAATAAATTTCTGTTTAAAGAAAGCGTATAATAAATGCTACTCATTCTATTGAGAGTTGTCCATCTTTTCTTTGCTTTCTTGTAAGTTTTCTTTTCTTCTCTGCTATGCACTTTTAATTTTGATCTTTTTTTCCCCTTTCTCCCCATCCACCACCACAGCAGGCTACAATTAAGTAAGGATAGGTATATATACAGAGAGAGAGAGAGACAGAGAGAGAGATGTATCTATGATTTATGTATGGATATGTGTGTCAGTGTGTGTATGTATATGTGTATGTATATACAGACCTACATATATCTGTATATACATACATAAATATATACACATGTTTATAATACACATACATATACATATATGTATTGTATATATGTGTGTGTGTGTGTGTGTATTATAAGAACTATAAAACAGGAAATTGTTTGGAGATCAGATATTTTTCAACACACACACATAGAGACACTCCCCTACACCTATCTGTTTACCTTAGATGACAGTTGTTGACAAATGAGAGTTCATCTGGAGGAAAGGTACTAGGATGGGTAAAGGGACTGGAACCAAGGCTGTCTGAGGCCACATCAAAGTAACTGAAGATATTTATCTTGGGGAAGAAAGGTGCCTGATATGACAACTGCCTTCTGAAAATCTGAAGGGTTGTTACAGAGAAGTCCTTTTTCTGCTTGGTCCCTGAAAGCAGAACCGAGAGTAATAGTTGGATTTGTGGTGCAGATTTTGGTTTAGTGTATGTAAAAACTTGATAGCAGTTAGGACTGCCTAAAAGTAATCAAGAGGCAGCTGGGTGGCGCAGTGGATAGAGCACCGGCCCTAGAGTCAGGAGGACCTGCGTTCAAATCCAGCCTCCAACACATAATACTTCTAGCTGTGTGACCATGGGCAAATCACTTAACTCCAATTGCCTCGTTAAAAAAAAAAGTAATTGACTGCTGTAGCATTGAGTTCCCTATTCCTGGAGGCTCTTCAGAGAGATACTGAATGACTGTCTAGCTGTGTGTTGAACTAAATGAAGGATTTTAAACCTGAAGTCCATGGACTTGTTTTTGTCAGTATTTTGATAGCTGTATTTTAATATAATTTGCTTTCTTTGTAATCCTATATATTTCATGTATTTAAAAACATTATTCTGAGAATAATTGTTTGGTGTATTGGAAAGAACATTAGTTTTGCCTGGAAAGACTTGTATGGACTAATGCTGAGTGAAGTGAGCAGAACCAGGAGAACATTGTACACAGTAACAGCCATGTTGTGCGATGACTAACTTTGATAGACTTAGCTGTTCTCATCATTGCAAGGATCTAAGACATCTCCAAAAGTCTCATGAAGGAAAATGCTGTCCACATCCAGAGAAAGAACTATGGAGTTGGAATGCTCTTTTGTTTTCTCTTCTGTTTTGTTTTGTTTGTTCTTTCTTGTGGTTCCTCCTATTGGTTCCAGTTTTTCTTTACAACATGACTAATGTGAAAATATGTTTAATAGGAATATATATGTAGAGCCTATATCAGATTGCATGCCATCTTGGGGGGGAGGTGGGGGGGGAAATGTTTAAAACTCAAAAGTTTATGGAAGTGAATGTTGAAAACTAAAAATAAATTAAAGAAAAAAAGACCATTACTTTTGTCCAGAGGACCTGGATTTGAATCCTGGCACTATTTGAATCCTATTACTTGCTTATATGTGTGGTCTTCATCGGATCACTTTATAACCTCTCTATGCCTCAATTTTCTCATCTATGAAATGGAGGCAGGGTTGTACTAGATCAATAGTATCAAACAAATAAAAATGACTCCCTACTAGCTGCATATTGACTTAGATAGCCACAAATTAACATCATCCTTGTTGTGTTTTTATTTATTTTTGTACAACATTTCTCAGTGAGCTTAACACCTCTGGACTAGAGGACCTCTAAGGAAGGTCTCTTCTAGCTCTAAATCTGTGATCCTGTGGTTCACCAGACTTGTTCAGTGTGTTCATAACAAGAAACTTTTGTCTTTATGTTGATAGTTTTGTGGCTCAAATTTTAAGGCAACTGATAACACTCATTCCCCAGTTCATAAACTTAACTGAAGAGAAAACCTGTGAAATAGGTGTCTGGGATTTCATTTGGAGCCCCACCAGGTAATAGCTAAAAGAAAGAGTTTCATTCCTCATCTTGCTGTGTTAGTAGTGCCACTGACTCTTCCTTTCCAGTATTGTCAGTAATTATTTTTTAATGTATACTCATCAGTCACCCCAGAGGCTTCAGCTCAAAGGCAAAGAATTTTATAAGTAGTGTGTTGAGAATGAAATTTACTTATTTCTCTAATAGTTTTTTCTTTTATTTTTTATATTTTTTTTGTTTCTCTAATTGTTGAAGTTTATTTCTCTAAGCCAGATTTTTTGACTTCCCATGGCTGACTTTGTGTTGAAGAACAACTAGAGTTCTTCCTCAAAAGAGGCCAGTTTACTTTGACCTAATTTTAGGCATTTTAGATGAGATTGTTTTTATGGTAGTGATGACCCGTGAATATGTTTTTGTATCTAATTTTTACCTTTCTTTCAGGACTATCAATGCTGGGGGCATCTGTTGGTCTCTCCCTTGTCCCCTTTTGCAAGAAAGCAATATTACTGGTTGTGATGATGGCTGTCTTTGGAATCTGCACTGGAATTTTAGACACAGGTAAATGAATATTTCTGCCATTATTCCTGGATGGAGGAGAGGAGGGAGGGAAAAGAAGATAGCTTCTTTTAGAAAACAGTAGAGAAAACTCTGTTTTTTTCTAATTCTCAAGTAGGTTACTCTCCTACATGGCACTTGTTCCTGGAACAGATATTGTACTTACTTACCTAGGGAAAAAAAATGACAATGATCCTTGCCAGATGTGAGAATCTGAAGGGTTGTTACAGAGAAGTCTTTTTTCTGCTTGGTCCCTGAAAGCAGAACAAAGAGTAATAGTTGGATTTGTGGTGCAGATTTTGGGGGCCTACTGTTGTGACTTGTGACTGTCCTGCTTCATAAGCAGTAGGTGTGGGTGGTTAAGGTCCCCCAGAGAGGGAAAATTTCCTCTTTGACAGTATTTAACATAACAGAATGGCAACTTTCATTTAGATAGTAAATCCTCATTGTTATGATGTGGAGTGATTATTTAAAACCTAGACCAAATTTGGACTTAGAGTCTGAGTAAGCAGATTAAATTCAGTGAATATTTCCTAACTAGTAGTTAATTTGCGTATTATGTTCAACTTGGGCATTGAATACTTGTATTGGAATGGATGCAAAGGTAATAGACCTAAATTGAAACCTGTTCCTTGCCCTGCCTATCACTTTTTGATTTTTTTTCCTTTTCTCCAAGATTACTATGTTCTTCCACTATGTCATTCCCTAATCAGTTGACCTCTGATACCCACTAAACCCTTTGCCATTTAATGTTGTATTTTTCTAAATATATATGTAATATTCATACATATGTTCATATGTATATGCCCTCACACAAACATATTTAGGAGAAGGGCAGGCTAGACTTAGGATTTCATCAGCATAAGGATCCAGCAGTGAGGAAACTCCTTCTCCTAATGCAGATTGGCAACTGTTGTGCAACTGTTGTTGTCTTTAAGAGTGGCCAAACAGAGTAAGTCTAATTTTTTCCCATATGGCAGCCCTTCAAGTGGTCATTCTTGGAGTCAGACCTGAGTTGATGACACATGCTGGCTGTGTGACCCTGGGCAGGTCATTTAGCTTTTCACTGCCTTAGAGACCTCTTTAGTATCCTGTATATGCATACACATATATGTAAAATGGTTTCTCCCACCATCCACACTGTAGCTTCTTGTGTTTCTCTCTCCCTTGCTTTACTGTAGTAGCTGAGTTTGATGACTTTTATTCATTGGTAGTTTGTCTTCACATCTGTAAAGAGTTAGAGACTGTATACCTGTTTGTGTCACTTGACCTTCATATACTTGAGGGTGTTAGAGGGTCCTAAAAGGTCCTCTGGGGGCAGCTAGGTGGCGCAGTGAATAGAGCTCTGGCCTTGGAGTCAGGAGGATCTGAGTTCAAATCCAGCCTCAGACACTTAACACTTACTAACTGTGTGACCCTGGGCAAGTCACTTAACCCCGATTGCCTCACCAAAAAACAAAAAGGTCCTCTGATGGGCATAGCAGGATTCTGCAGATCCTCATGTCCTGAAAACCTCATGCTGCACCTTGGTATGTGTATAAATAACATTTCCTCAAATAGGTGTCTGGTGCTATGTCTTACAGGGAATTTTAGTAACTTTAATGTTATCTGATGATTAAAAACCAAATAGCATGTTTTACTTTGAAGCACAGTTTGCTTTGTCACTTCTGTTGTATGTGAATATTTCCGGCACCAGGACCTTCTCATTCTTTGCAGTTCATGTACTTCCATAAATCTTCCACAGAGATTCTACCCATTGTGCAGTAGGCCTTCTTCTTGGGCTGTTAGCCTTTGAATGGTTATACCAGAGGTGAGGAACCTGCAGCCTTGAGGCCACATGTGGCCTTCTGGATCCTTAAGTTCAGCCTTGTGACTGAATCCACGTTTTATCTTCATTCTGTAAAACTTGGATTCAGTCACAAGGCCTCACTTAAGGATCTAGAAGGCTACATGTGACCTCAAGGCCACAGGTTCCCCATCCCTGGGTACTATTTGATGGGTGGTCATCAGCACAGCACTAAAGGCTGTCCATCTGCTTCCCTTTGTCTCACTCCATGACTCACTCACATCCTTTTGTGATCAAGCTTGTGCTTGATGATGTCTTTTATGCCACTTCTGTGTACCAGTTGTTGCTTACACACTTCAGAATACTTACACCTACTCTGTCTCTCCTTTGGGTCACTTGGCCATTTTGATCCTTCAGAGAGCATGGCATTTATAATTAGGTCAGTTCATTAGGTGTTCACTGTGTCTGTAGAATTCATTTCTGAAACTTAAATGATACAGAAGTGTTCCAAAATTGTTAGAGTTCCCTGAGGTTTGAAAGTGGGTTAGTGGCATTTGGTTGCTTAGCCTTTTAGGAGGTAAAGGCGGGGCAGGAGGTGGGTCTTGACTTCTGATTTCCATGGCACAATGAACCGCAAATGAGGAAACGCCTCTACCAATGTGTATTAGTGACTTTCCTGGAACTTAAGAGTCTCAGAGAGCTGCCCAGGACCACGTGACTGGTATGTGTCAGAGATAGGACTTGAACCCAGATCTTCCTGACTTCCAAACTGGCTCTCTGGCTTCTATGTTGGCCTTACTCTTTGCCTAGCAAATTTATATTTCTTATATACTGTTTTTGACACTGAAAAATCTTCTGAAGATAATTACTGCATTGACTTTCAAGATATCTGTGGCATGCACAATTTTTAACATAAAAATATATTTCTTTTTATTATTTGTAGGTGGCAATGTCCTCATCCTGCATATATGGAGAAGTGAAGCAGCCCCACATCTGCAGGCTTTGCATTTCACTTTTGCCTTGGGGGCATTTTTGGCTCCCATACTGGCCAAGTTGGCCCTTGGCAGTGCTGTGCCCTCTGAAAACCACATGATAGCTGACATGTCAAACCACTCTGAGCTCACTCTGCCACCTGCAGCCGACTTAGAAGTCATATTTGGAGTACCTGCTAATAAGAATTTGCTATGGGCTTATGCTGTTATAGGAACTTATACTTTGGTGATGTTTGCCTTCTTTATTGTTTTGTTTTTCAAAAAAATTCCAAATCAAGAGAAAGCAAAAGAAGCTGCTCAGAAGATTCGAACTACGAAATACCAGAATGCCCTTCTTGGTCTTCTTTTTGTGTTCTTCTTTTTTTACGTAGGAGCAGAGGTCACATATGGCTCATACGTTTTCTCTTTTGGAACACGGCACGCTGGCATGAGTGAAAGCCAAGCAGCAGGCTTGAACTCTGCCTTCTGGGGGACATTTGCCGCTTGCAGGGGCATGGCGATCTGTTTTGCTACATGTCTGCAACCTGGAACCATGATTGTGTTAAGCAATGTGGGCAGTTTGTTTTCCTCCCTGCTTCTAGTGATTTTTGATAAGAACCACATTTGTCTTTGGGTGGCAACTGCGGTGTATGGGGCTTCAATGGCTACTACATTTCCCAGTGGCATTTCCTGGATTGAACAGTACATGACCATTAAAGGAAAATCTGCAGCTTTATTTGTAGTTGGTGCTGCCCTGGGAGAGATGGTCATTCCTGTAGTGGTTGGATCTCTTCAAGGAAAATACCCACATCTTCCTGGGATTCTGTATGTTTCATTGGGGTCAGCTATTGCGACGGGAGTTTTGTTTCCTATCATGTACAAACTGGCCACTGCACCTCTTCATAGCAAGATTCAGGAAAGTAGAAAGAGTGAAGACCAGAAAGCACTACTGTCCACCTCTAGATTTAATGATGAGGATGAAGATGATTATGGAGAAGAGGGTGCTGAAGAAGAATGGGACAAAGTCGACTTTGAAATGATTGAAATGACCGATACCATGAGGAATTCGGTAATAGAGACATCTAGAAAAATTTTGAGGGAATCTCCCACAGAAATCTCTAGCCATTTATTGTCAAATGATACACCATTCAGTTCCTCTCTGGTTATTACTGGCAACTCACCTGTGAAGCCCCTCCCTCTAGATAGGGAAAAGAATGACTAACGGAGTAGAAGATGGATTGGTTATTGATTCCCTGTAACAACTATTGATTTTAAGGAGTCAGATCAAACACATTTTAGGGTTTGGCACTGTATCTGTGAATTCAACAAATGGAAAATTCTGATGTGTCATGTCAGCCTAGAGTCTTTGACAGCAAAAGGAGGTCAGGTATGGTCAGGTGTGGCTAGTAAAGTGACTTTACTGTAAAGTAACCCCCTACATTCAGAGGATGCAAAGAAGGCATAAATATTTGAGAAGTTTCCTACCAGCAGAAGTCACCTAAAGGAGCGATTGAAGAGTAGAATAAATTATCAGAATTCAAGAAACTACTGGTAGAGTTGGTAAATAACCAACTCTAGTCGGTAAAGCCTCATGAAAGAATCTATTTCTCTCCTGAAAAAGCTTCTTTAACCTGGACAGATACTGTACAGACACTTCTTCTATTCAACTTGGAGCAAATGATGGTGATAGGTTCTGATTTCTGATTCAAAATTTTTTTCTGATAATAATGAGAAAATGTGGTGTAATGGAAAGAACTCTGCAATGGGAACCAAGAGATTTTGGTTCTAGTTATAACTTTAACCACCAATTAGCTCCATGATCTTGCCTAAATTCACTTAATTTCTCTCTGTCTAAATTTTCTTGTAAAAATGAGAGTATTTGGCTTTGATCACCAAGGTCTTTTCTAGCTCTAAAATTCTTTGTTTGGTAATGAGATGTTCTCCAAAGAATTAAATGCACTAACTTTAGTTGTTCAGGTTGTTAATAAGGGCCATTCCATTCTTCCCAGAAAGGAGGGAAATTGTGAGAAAAGAAGTAGTGGAAAGAAGAGAGAGAGAAATGACAAAATCACTTTAAGATGATGATGAATTTGATGGCCTGAAAATTTTACATACTTTAATATTTAATACTTTGAGTTTTTGTCTTAAGAAGACATCCTTAATCAATAATTAACTATAGGAAGTTTATGCTGTTGACAATTATATTTAAAGGAAAAAAACTACTGAAAAGTTAGAAATTTATTTTTCTATGCTGATTATTTTTCTCTAAGTTTGAAGGGGGAATTTGCATATCTAAATTTTTACTATTAAAAAATAGCTTAGAGTAGTATTCCTACATTGGTAGACAAATAGAGAAGGACCCTTCTAAGGGTCCATTACTTACCACTGCTACAAATTTATTTCTGAGTTTTGCAGGACTAGAAACTCAGTTATATCTGTTTTTTATCTAGGTTTTGGTTGATAGCCACATTCATAAGAGACTGAGCTATTAACCCAGAGTGCCAGTTCTTTTAGAGTAAGGAATTTGCCTTTGCAGTGTTATATGCTCCTGTTGCCCTTCCAGGGCAAGCCTCTTGCTTTTGTTGCATACCCAGGAGACCAGATGAAAATTTGGTATGTTACTCAGTGTCTGTAATGTCCTTGAAGAGGAAGTAGAGCATCTTTCAAAGGTTGTTTTCATACACGTCATAGAAAACTCGATGAATTCTCCTCCACAGTGGACAATCTGGAGAATCCTAGGTTATTAACTTATTCCCTTAAAGTGTGTCTCTTCGTGCACACTATATTTTTTTTCTCCAGATTTCATACTGACCACACTTTTTGATTCTGTGTTTCTACCTTAGTGCAACATATCTTTCTCTTACCTAGTTCCTTCACACCCAAATGGTGTACCTGTGCTGATTTCCCAGTGAACCTCTGATGGTCTTAGTGCTCAAATGTGTATCCTTTCATCATCTTACCTTGTTTCTAAGGCAGGGCAGCCTTTGAGTCTTGGAACCCTTTTACTTGTTTACTACATTAGACCACACTGAATGACCCTAATCTTAGGGAGAGTTGTGGGGAGTATAAAGGGGAAGAAAAACCCTCCTATGCTTTTTATAGCTCCCTTTGTCTGTGAGTTTATAGATGCTTCATTTGCTTCTCCACTCTGCAAGCCATCTGATGGATTAATACAGCAATTATAGGAACAGCAAGGTTGCGGAGTGGATAGAGCACTGGCCCTGGAGTCAGGAGGACCTGAGTTTAAATGTGGCCTCAGACAAAATGATACTCACAAGCTGTGTGACCCTGGGCAAGTCACTTAACCCCGATTGTCTCACAGAAAAAAAAAATACAGCAGTTATGCTAACAGTGGAGTGGAGAGGGACAGGCTGAGCTGGAGAATGGTGGTTATTACACCTTTCTCATAGCTCCTTTTATAGGTGGATGAATGGCATGGTTGGCTGTGGCCTAGGAAGAGATAAGAGAAAAACAAAAGATGCCAGGAAATAAGAAAAAGTACATAGAATTCCCTGAAAAGCTACTCACCATCATAGACTACATTGTGGGTAGCCATATGGGTTATATATGTATGTGTGTGTGTGTGTGTGTATATATGTGTGTGTGTGTGTATATATATATCCAGAACTAGATTGTATTTTCCTTATTGTTAGGAGAAGAATTGAAACTTATATCTCTGGAAGTTAGTGTTCCTAAAAATCACTTCTCTGGGAAATGAGTCATGATACCCATCATCTGTATAATCAAAACCTTAAGTATTCAGGTTGCTCAAGACAGTTGAAGATTCTATTGAATGAAAAAAAATTAAGTGTGATGCAATAAACATTTATTAAGCACTTAAGAACTATACTTCCTGTTTCCCCCCTTCCCCACCCCCTAAAATCAGAAGTCAGTTTAAGAGTTACTATGAAGGATTTCTCTATCCTTCTAGGGCCATAAAGAAAGGGATGGGGAAGTGAACAACAACCCCCCCCCCAACTTCTTTTAGTCAAGACTGAAAGCATTAATAAAGTGGTAATTTTATTACTAATATTGGTATATTGATATATATATATATATAACATATATATATAAAAATGATGTTACCATATATGTATGGAAAAAAAACCCAGCACAAACCATACAAAGCAAAAACACAACACATAATTGGAAGAACAATATAATTGCACATTCATAAGAAAAAGTGCCAGAGGTAAGCCTTTATACCTTTATGTTTCATGTCTTTATATCTTTATGTCTCATGTGGTACCTTTGCTAGAGGCATTTCTACTAATATAAGTTAGTAAGGAAATTTCAGTTAATCAGAACAACCCCAAACCCCAGTCATGATATCTAAACAGGGTTATTGTAACATAACCCCTTAAAAAGTACATAATGGAGATTATTATATCCCTTCCTAAGGCATTGTAACTGCAGGGGTACTTTGATCTTACTTATCCTATTAAAATAACTGCCTGTGCAATTTAATTGAATCAGAACTTTTCTGTTAATTTGCCCCACAGAAGTTTACCCTGTAATGTTCCATATGCCTGGGAAAACTAGCAACTGCAGTGAGATGTTAGCCTTCGAAAACTACTGGTCCTTTGCTCAGTAGCAATAAAGTTAGTACCTTTAATTTCACATAATGGTGGTTTTTTTTTTTCCCCCAGAAGTTGTACAGAGTACAAACTTACTTCCCTCTCATTCATTAACAAGGAAACAAGTATACCTATTTTCCAAATAGAAAAGCAAAATCAGAAAAAGGACAATTCTAGCCACAGTAACATAATGAAGAGTTGTAATGTAAGGGACTATCTACCCTTTGTCTCTGTTCCCCCTTGAAATTCAGAGTCTTACAGGATTACCAACCTTGTGTGATTCCCCGTTACTTTTGGAAGTATTTTAAAAAATTCTCCCAAACTTTCCCCTAAATATGAGTGTCAGAGATGAACAAGAATTTGAAATTAATGGTAACAGAGCTAGAGAGGCCACGACCCCTTATTTAGTTATATTTTATATTTAGTTATATTTTTCCCCTTCTCCTTTCCCTTGAGTGTTCATGTGAAGATGTTCATATTCATCTGAATGGAATTAATTTCTAGAGATTCAATGTAGAAACCTCATATTTTTTGCAAGTACTATAACTTTGTGGAGTTTGTTAATTGGGACTCATTTTGTCTGACCATAAATAGTGCTGGTTATTTTTTTGAGGATTATTATTAAATAAGATTTAAATTATAAACTTGTTAGAATTTATTAATCAAATATGAATGTGTTATCTTTATGTGCTTCAGTATTTATTTCTTATTACCAAAGTGAGCATCTGTGTTTTGCCATACCTACCTTTCAAATTTGGAACATTTATGAGTGAGCTTATTTGCATTTTTCCCTTGACCTAACATTGGTTGGATTTATAAATGTGTCTTCACATAAGAAATGTCTAACAGATAATGAACATTAATAGTTTCCTAATGGGAAGTAAGTGACTATCTAGAATTTGGAGTAAAATTTGAGAGTGGTTTTACATTTGATCTTTTTCCCACTGGCTTTCCATGTCCAAATTTCTTCTTGGCTAAAGTACTTTGGCATGTTAAAAAAATCACAGAAACCTTACTATTTAAAAATTAAAATTTATTTTTTCAGTTGTCAAGCATTTATTTTTTTCTCCCATGCTCCCCTCCTGGGGAAAAAAAAATCCTTGTTAACAGATAAGCGTAGTCAAGCAGAACTGGTTCCCCAATTGGCAATATCCAAAAATGTGTTTTGTTCTGAATATTAGTGCATCCCATCTTTGTCAGGAGGGTGGTTAACTTTCTTCCATCATTGGGCCTCTAAAATGGTGGTGGTTTCATTGATCAGGGTTCTTATGTCTTTCAAAACTGATTTTGCAATGTTGATGTTATTGCATAACTTAGCCACCTTATTATTAAAGAGAGCAGAGCAGAACAGAAAGATGAACTGAAGTTTGGCCTGGGTGTTTCTGTGTGTGTGTGTGTGTGTGTGTATATGTATGTCATATATATCATATGTATATGACATGTATTATATAATTTCTGCTGGGACTTGTACAAGCCCCTTATTTACTCCCTATTTCTATCTGTAGTGAATGTTGAGAGCTTTAGACTTGCTGTAGTTCCTTTTCTCCAACTAGCTGAATGATTGACCTATTCTTTAATATAAACATTTGATCATCTAAATAACTTAATTCAGAGTCCCCTTTTTTTAACTTTGATTTATAAAGAAACTGCTTCTGTACTGAGGAACATGCTTCCTCTCCTAATGCCCTCAACCAGATTGCATTTTAAATATACTAAATTTAATGGAGTTCAGCTTTTCATTTAGTAATCTTTACAAATGGGATATCATCTTTAGAATGTTGTAATTTTGTAGTGTTCCTTCATAATCAGTACTGCTTTGCTAAAATGTAGAAGTTTTTGAAAGTTGCTTTCAGAGTTTCTACCTTTTTTTTTTTTTTCCTGAGATCAATTTAAATTTGTCCCCTTACATCTTCCTGTTTCTCCTGTGGCTGTGCTGCTTTTAAAGTCTGCCATCTGACACTCCCTTTCCTTCCAGTTTCTTACAGTGAGTATGGTATTTTACTGTTATTCCTTTTACTTTATTAGAAAATAAAAAATAAATTTGCTCATGATCTCTAAATGGAGTACTGCTCCCCTTTACTGTCATTTGGTTGTGACTGAATGGCAGACCCGCATAAACCTTGGAAGTTTGCTGGGGGAGGTAGCTGGTTCTAGAGGCAGACTCTTAATATCTGAACAAATAGAGGAGATTATATAGTTCTGACTTTTGATCATTTTGCTTTTACTTTGTCATAATCAAACTTTTTTTTCCCCTGGTAGAAACTGGATTTCATCAGAGTATTATATTGAGACCTCAGTACACTAGAGAAATTTTTCAGCCCATTTAGCTCATTAATATCACATGTAGATTTTCAACATTTAAATTGAAGTGGAACTTTAAATGTGTTTGTCTCCTTAATCTGTAGAATTGAGCAGGTTGGAATAGATTATCTCTGAAGACCCTTCTAGCTCTAAATCTATGAGTCTGTGAACTGATAAGCATTTTTTTTTTTTTCCAAAGAGACTTGGTTTCCATGTTGCTGTATCACCAAAGGAGGTATGTTGATTCTCTTGAATTAATATAATATGAATTTCTTCTGTGTGCCTCTTATGCGTGATGTGAAATATCTGACCTTACTGTAGTTGATGTAGTTAGTAGATGCTACCATCTTGCATTTTGGAATTTTGATCATGATGTTCTACAAAATAGTGGGTAAAATATTGTTAAGTAGAATTAAGGAAAGTAGCATCAGAAGCAATAGGGGTGTCCTACGTATCTTTTTTTTCTGTCAGGCAATTGGGGTTAAGTGACTTGTCCAGAGTTACACAGGTAGTGAGTGTTACATGTCTGAGGCCAGATACGAACTTGGGTCCTCCTGACTCCAGGGCCGGTGCTCTATCCACTGCACCACCTCGCTGCCCCATGTCCTATGTATCTTAAGCAGTTTCTTCTAAGCTCTCCTGGGGTTTATCCACTTGATTTCATTGGGCATCATAGGTAATGAATATCGTTGCTATGATCTGATTTCCCCTAAGAAAAGATGTTCTCTCCAGGCAGGGTGTCGTGTCATGTGGCATTTGCACATCATTGATACAGATGAAACCCATTTGAGGCTAAGTGAATTGTGCAGGGTCACACAGCTAGTAAGTGTTAAGTGTCTGAGGCTTAATTTGAACTTAGGTCCTCCAGACTCTAGGGCTCATTCGCTAGCCACTACACCACCTAGCTGCCCCCCCCCTTTCCAAACGAAAGCTTGAACTATACTTTTATTTAGAATGATACATAAAAACATGGAAAGATACAAAGGGTTTTTACACAGAGATCATGAGAATGGTGATCATATACATTGTCTCCAACTTGAGATAAAAATAGTAATTAGACATTTGTTTCTTAATTGTCTGTTAATCCCTGTAGTTTTCCTTTGTAAAATGCTAAGTGTTTTAGATGAAATTAATTTCTCATTTTGCATTTTTGAGGATCCTAAATGCTGAAGACTTTGCAGGGAGCACTGTAGACCTCTAAGCAGGTACTCCACCTGGTCTGAAAGACAAATACTCTCGTTGAGCAATCTCGTTGAGGTGTCGCAATTTGCTCAGCTCTGCAGCAAGAATGTCAGTGTTGGTCTTTAACATAGGGGCCATCCCCTGTTGTATATCTTTATTAAAATGAGGCAATTGCAAGCTCTACAAGTTTTGGAAGGTTGTAATCTGTGACATAAGGTACCGATGTCCATCAAGATTAAAATGCTATTACTTAGGTCCACTCTGCGGAGTACCAGAAGGTCCAAAAGAGGCAGGAATTCTACAGCATCGTGAAAAAAGATGGGTGCAGTGTATAAATCTCAGCAGTTCAGGTGGAGAGGGGGGTTGGCATTGTTCTGGATAACTTCCTTTAGAAACTCCTCAGAGACAGAGCTCACTCTGAAGTCATCCAGGATATCCACACATATTTCCATTGGGAGAGTTGTGACTGGGGATGCTTCTGCCATCTGGTTCTTTGTGTGGCTTTATGGGTCATATGTCTCCTCCTGTGAGGAATTATAAACTTGGACTCACCTTATCGAGCTGGCCCACAGCCTCATGAGTTTTAAATTCCAAAGACTTTTACCATTTAATCCTGTCATAACCAGCTGCTGTAACCTCCTGAAGTCTTTTCATGAAATAGTCTAACAATAAAGTGTAATAGCTAGGATACGCAGTTAACCCAGGGCCTCTGGGCACTGAAAGATTTGCAAGTCTTAGCCAATAGTCTTTTTGTTCCCCAAGCAAAATATGTGACAAAATTCCAGTAATACAAAAGATCTGGACAGTTTTTTTGGGAGTTTACTGTAATAGGATTTAGTCTATACTACAAGAGCTAGTCAGGAAAATCAGTGTAGTGATTTTGTACCTTGTGTTTGTGTGGCTCAGGTTGTGTGTGTGTGTGGTTTTTTTCCCTTTCGTACAATCTTTGTACCCACAGTGCCATTTTGCACATTGCTCTTTGATGTTAATATAGTGAAACCTGTTTAGAAAGATTGCCTGATATTCTCTGCAAGAGTAGCTGCCTTGACAGCTGGCCTTTGCATACAGTATTGTTAATAGGCCCAAGATGCATCTGTGGGTGAATAACATGGATTGAAGGAATATTTCCCTACACATATATTCCTAGATGGGTTTTACTGTTATCACCTTAAAAAATTCTTTTCAGTAGATAGGGGAGGAAGGGAGTGTGATTGAATGGATTTATTACATTTGAATTTGATTAATGTGTATGTGACTTTGTATAATTGTGGATATTTATTGGAATAAAATATTGACTTGGATGAAACCTTGGATTGCTATTTATTTTTCTCATTGTTTACATAGTTGCGATTTCTTAGAAAGCTTCTGAAATCGGGTTTAAATCATAGTCCATCAAGAACATCACCAGAAATTTTGGCATCAAATATCTCAGATAAATTTAATATCTACATGCATAGTGATGGACACAAATATATGTCTGAGTCATTCTCCAGTAGCTAAGTGGTCACAGGATATGAGCAAACAGTAAAAAATAAATAAATAAATGTTCTAAATACCTAGTGATAAAATAAATGCAAATTAAAAAAAAACTGAGTTTGTTAGACCCATTAGGTTATAAAAAAAATTTATATCTTTGAAAGAAGCTATTATCTTACTGTTTAGATGTTCCCTCTCTTGGTGCAGATGGCAGCCCATCTATGCCCGCCCATGCTGTGTAGCTCTGGCCTTCCATAAATTTTCCCAACATCCCTGGAGGTCTCCTTCACTTTTTCCTGTCATTGCAAGGACTACTCACCTATCATCCCTTGCCCCATGGCCTTCCCACCTTTTCCTATTTTGTATTTCTCTGATATTTTACTCCTGTTTTTCAGAATTTTTCATCTGTTACATGTTGCCTGTTCAAATTTGTCCTGTGCCTATGTGGGATGTTCATTTTCTTTTCTTTGGAAATGTGTGTTCTAAGTCTTGTAGCCATATAGTGATACAAATTGGAAATAAAGTTGCAGAGGCTGTGAGAAAAACAGTCGCACAAGTAACCCTAGATTTTAATAAAGCATATTTGAAAGTTAGTGAAAGGACATACATAGGATCCTATGTCCTAAAATCTGCAGAAGTTAATTCCAAGGGTATGTATATATGTATTCCAAGGATATGTTCTCAAAAATGAAATTCTGATGACAAAAATTATTCTAATGAAATGGAGAACTGCCGAATAGCCAATACTTTGCTAAATCTTGTTTCCACCTTCACAGCATCTGTTATACATCCCCTACTCTCCACTCAGGCAGCCACCTCCCTAGTCCGGATCCTGGGGCAGCTAGGTGACGCAGTGGATAGAGCTTGGAGTCAGGAAGCTCATAAGCTAATAAGTGGGTACCTTGCAGAGGCATGGGCTCCCTGGACACTGGGAGAATTTTTCAGAGCTGGACTCCGGATTGATGGAGAGAATGTTTACCTGCCATTGTAGACCTGTGTGAGGGGTGGAGCTAGTGTCCAGGGCAGTGTCTGCACTATTGCCAGCAAGCCAGCTTGGAATGGGAGGGGGGTGCCACCGGGGGTGGGGGGGGGGGGAAAAGTATGGAGAGAGCATCAGGTAGAGTAGAAAAGTGCCTTGAGGCTGCTTATATTTCACTGTCTGAGGGTGGAGTTGAGCTAGAATTTTTTTGTCTGTCCCCTCACCTCAAATATTGCTGGTCTAGGAGTATGATTTTGTGGGGGAAGGGGGGGGGGACAACTCTCCAAAACAAAAAACCACTTGCCTTATTGCTCTTGAAGGGGTAGGTAGCATTTTGGCTTAAGTCGACCAGTGTAACTCTTTGCCACCAAATGCTAGTTACCCAAAAGACCATCACAAATAATGAATGGAAAGTAAACCTAAATTTATCTAAGCAAATAGCAAACAAAAATTGGAGAAGTTATATAGTTTAGAAATACTCAAAAATACACAAGAATAGATGAGCTCTTTGGCTCTGCAAAGACAGAGACTCTGATCTTACTCAAGGGGAATTCTGTCTCTGAAGTCTCCTGGCATGCAAACTGGAAATCAGGAATATGATGACGAATAAGCTTCCCCTAAATGTTCATATCTTCCCTATGTGCAGGTGGCACAGAACTACCTCTCCACGCCTCTCTTGGGTTGAGATCCAGGAGACCACAAATAAGTTTTAAATCTCAGCTTGGTATTTAAGTCCTTCCACAACAAACCTCCAATCTTCCTAGTATTTCATATTATTCTCACTTATATACCCTATATTCTAGGCAAATTGGAAGTATACTAATTGTTGCCCAAACTCAACATTCCTTCTACCACCATACATTTGCAGAAACTGCCCCACATGCATGAAATTTCATGTACTCTTTGATGGGGTATGGGCCCAAGCTGAGACCTTTGCTCCTTGCCCTAAAAAGAATTTGGCTCCCATTTGTCCAAGGGCCCTAGAAAACCCTTATACCCCACTTTTGAGCTTATCAACCTCTTCCTTCCAGTTCTTTGTTACCCTAATAAAAGCCTAGCCCTTCATTGTCTATTCCTGGGTGACTCTATCCAGACATTCCCATTCTCCCTAAATTCCTCCCTCAGTCACCCAGATCCTCTTCCCAGCCCCTCCTCTGGTCACCCAAAATTACTTGAGTGTATTTAAGATCCACTCTGGCCCCCATTTAAATGCTGAGACTTTCTCATGCCCGCTTGTCCTTTCAGGCATCACTAATGTTCACATTCCTTAAGAGTCTGGCCTGTATGGTTTATCTCTAGTAAACTTTTTCTCTGGCTGAAAGATTTGGGCTGAATTCTTTCAGGCAGGGCCTGTGTGTAGTGATTTGGGGGTTCTAGTACCCCTAAACCTGTAGACCTCATCACTCTTCATCTTCATCTCTTAGAATCCAAGGTATCATCTCCTAAAACAAAATTCCTCAGTTACAGCCACTGTTTTCCTTCTCAAATTCTCTTGTATTCTCTTTCATCCCCCACAAGCAGCAGATAAGCTCCTCGACGACAGAGACTGCCTTGTTTTGGTCTTTGTATTTATCCTCAGTGTCTTTTACATAATAGGTAATTAATTTAATATTGAATTGAATGAGATGAAGAGACTTGGTTTATGCGATAGTATGATTAGTTGGGTTTGTTACTGGTTAAATGGCTGGATCCAAAGAGTGATAATTAATGATGGATCAATGCTAGTGTAAAAGAATGGCTTTTTTGGAGTACCTGAGGGGATCCTGCCTTGATCCTTTTCAGTCAAGTGTTTTAATCAAAAACTTGGGCTAAAGGTAGAGATGCCATGCTTATAAAGTATACAGCTGGGAGAAAATTTGGAGGTTATATCTAATATTTCGATAGCAGAATT